ATTTGGATGACGGTGAAAAATGGCGGGACTTGACGCGTCGGTCCTCGGCGATTTTTCGCCTCAGAAGCTGGCTGTTGTCGGGCCCATACACGGTGCATTAACACAGACGCGGACAAATGAGTCAATCGATCATCTTAATTGGCCCGACATCTGCAATTAAGCGATAGTACGCCACCTACAAAACCCGGTGTCACCGACAATATTTCACACCCTCCGCACGCACTGCCGAGCACAGCATACATGAAAAGGCTTTTAGAATCATCCGACTGGAAATTGGCTCGCCTGGGACTAGAGGCAGACAAAAGTTCTCCAATTAATGGATTGTTAAAGCCGGAAAATGGTCCAGTAATTCACTTATCATAGCTGTTTCATCCTTGTTTGAAACTCCGTGGAGGGAGACATAAAACACTCGGTGCGGAGTCCCGCGTTTTGTGTTCCTAATGTAGTCTTTTGACAAGTTTTAGGTTTGTTACCGAGCATATGTGCAGTCTTATTACACCCACCATAAGGGCGACACGTTACTCCCCAGATTGTTAAATAAACAAAATGAACGATGCAATTAGCTTCCACCCGAGAAACTTCTCTCATAAACGGCATTTAATGTCTGCTAGTGTCGAGTTTTACGGTGAAGTTATTAATGCAAATCTATCAGACGCAGAACCATGTTACGGCCATTGTAAAAATTGCCCCGGGGGTAATGACAATAACTTTTGCAAGTCTGGGCATTTTTAAAGAATGAATACGCTTGCATTACCTGCTTGAAATCCATATGCTATTTTTATGATTGCCTTCAACACTGGCAACAAAAGTAGACAGATAAAAATACGCCAGTCTGATATTTACCACTGCAATAAAATATGTGTCAAAGAGGCCTGCAGTTTTGCAAGGGCGCCGGAATCTCAGCATCTACGATGTCTTTCATAAAGTGCAAAGTTTAGCGCAATGTTAGAGCATGTCAAGTAGATAAGTGGATTGTGGCAGATTATCTTTAGAAAAAACCGAGCGCCCCGCTGGTTCTAACACGCACGCGATCGTCGTCAAATTTGCTCCATGAGGCGGAAGGGAATCGACCTTTCTGCTAAAGTTCGTGAGCTGTAATCCCATTTCGTTCCCTTCACCAGAAGCTATGGGTCACCTTCTTACAACAAAGCACCTGCACCTACGGGCTAGACTACATTTTGTGGAAGACTTGTTTTGCAAAGTACCAAAATACAGGCGGGCGTCGCATAGGGAAGGGGACAAAAACCTCGTTGATGGAGTTGATGAAAAATAAATGTGTGATTTCACGGTGTGAACATCATTTGTATTATTCATGACATCTTTAGATAGGGGGCAAAAATTTATTCCGATTTCTCGTTCATCATTGATAGATGAATGGAAAATTAGTGCCTTTTTATGATCCACGCACCGATGAGATTAACATTCTTTGTCTTGAAAGATAATTCTTCATAACAAATTCTACCGGATGAACATCTCGTCTTTATGGCTTATAGATATAAAAGACAAACTAGAAATAACCTGGCATAGGAACTACTAAACTGTAACATTAACTTCATTCGCATAACAGTGAATTTAGGAGTTTTTGTCATGTTCAACAGCTTTTTCCAGTTCGTTTATATGTGATAAGTGTTGACTAGCTCTGTCAGTCCATTTTAGTGACGCCGAAGAACAGTGACGGATGTCACTCGAAACATTCGAAAGCCATCTCCGTAATTTATCCAGTAGTAGATTTTGAACTGCCATTGAATATTGTTATTAACCTGAATTTCTTGCTAACATTCATCAATGTATTCCATATTGTTTATTTCTTTAAAGTTTCTATTTACAATCTACCTTCAGAGATGAATGTCTGACGGAATCTGTCACTATTTCAGGAGAGTACCGTTCCAAAATACATTTTTACCAGGAAATGCAGATGAACAGAATCCGCTGTGATGACGGTACCGTTATACTGCAGGAAAAGTTCGGTTTACCAATGGTAGTAAATATCTGTAAAAGTCGGATAAAGTTAACTATATAAACTGTACTGGACTCTACAATGGTAGTAAGTAAAAGTCAAGTTCGGTGATTGACTATCGTTGAAAAGCCAGGTACTGTATACAAACTTAACATTACCCGATTTTTCTAGCATCGAAAAATTCGACTTTTCGTGCTGTGTTAGAAACTGTCTGGTCTTAAGCCAAGTCTACATCGAGGAAAGCCTTCGACAAACACGTCCAAAAGGCAGCCAGTTTGATTCGCTATCTAGATCCAGCTTGACATACTGTTACTGCTTATAGCTGTGGGGAACACATCCTATATGCCATAATTCACTACCGTGTCGCAGATCTGGAGATTTCAAATTCAACAGAGCTGTTATCGAAGTTATATTATTGTTTTTGAATGTCTCTGACAACGATTAAAAAGATATGTAATAAAGTTCCTTGTAAAAACTAGAAAGGATCTTTTCATATAAAATACTTGTTACGTATACAGCACTATTGGAGAGTAATGGGAAATGATGTTTTGTTAATACATTAGAATAACATAGAAGGCCATTAGGAAAGAATGCAAAAATGTTTTGATAGAGTCCCCGTGAGGTAGGCTGGCATTACCATTGTGGGGCCGTAGGATCTAGGAATACGGCATTACTGGAGTGCATTGCACTTTTATGGCGTGCTTTTCCAAATCCGTTAAGCTACAGGGGTGGTTCTGTATGCAGCACGTCCGGAACATCATGGACGAGCCTTTTGCTCAGCCTCGGACATCAAAGCCCGCGGGTTATCCCCTGCCAATCTTGAACCTGTCCAACCACCGCCTGTAGCCGGGGCGCTCCCCTCTTTATACGGCCAGTTCACGCCATCCTGACTGGGGCTATTAGTTTACCCGGAATGCCCAAAATAATGCGTCACGTCAAAAGTCATCAATTTTGTGCCGCTGTGTGCTGTATGATGTATTCTTTTCGATCCATTACGACTGGGCGGTAATTGCGAGCGTAAATCAGTCCCGAAGCCTTTAATCGGCTTGTACGCACGGTTCGGCACACGGGTGAGCACCTCTGGCTCCCGACCAACAGGGTGAACAAAGACCACCAGTCCCCACTTACCTCATCCGCGTATAAGTCATGCCGGGCCAAACTCATGACATCCATTCCCATCTACTGCAGCTTACGCACTCTTTCTTCTCTCTCGCATTTTTAAGAACTGGTCATACAGCTGCTATGGCTAATCAATAACATACTATATACTGAAAATAGTTTAATCAATGACCACGCGCACCGAGGATTATGGATGTAATAGTTTTCTTGATGAAAGTGGCATATTTAATCTGCGGAAGCATGAAGCTTGGCGCTGCCGCTGTGGGGATGTCACGCTAGGCTCGGGGGCAATGACACAGGTCAAGCTGTACAGAGACCAAGGTCGGCAGACAATTTGAAGTCCTCCATCCCTGTCGGAGGAGTTGTCTACGTGTAACTTCGGTTAGCACAGTCCTCTGAAACATCTATGTCTCGGGTAAGATGACAGGATTCGTGGTGTCCTTGTGGTTTGGAAACTATATGATAAATAAGGAAAACAGTACTGGAGTATATGTGGGTGAAGTTTAGACATCCAGGTAATAAGATACGCCAAAAAACAGTTACTCAAGCAACTGGATATGATTTTGGAAACAGTCAGACAGTCAATAGTTCGGGCTTATAAATATGCATTTCTCCTGCAGTCTCTTAGTGTCACTGACGAAAGATAGTGGATGGTAGTTGCTACCTGAAACGTCTGAACGTTTCCAAATTCATATCTAGTTGCTTGGATAACTGTTTTTGAAGTACTGGAGAAATCATGTAATTCCACGCTGAGAGCTTCTTTCCTTAAACTGCACTATGAAACAAGCTTCCTTGTGAAGGCTTTCCAGCAAATGGGCCCAACCTTACACTTTTCAAGTCTAAACAAACATGTCCTCACAGTCCATTAGTGTAACCAAAAAATGTGATTGGTTTGTATGAGCCTTGGTTTTTGGTGAAAATTGAAGATAACTCAGAATTGAAGAATTATTACTCACTTATATACCAGTCTGACTGAGATATAAGGTGAAAATGACTAAGATTTGGTCAGTCCTTAGACAGTCCACATGTCTGACCTTTGCCAAAATCATATCCAGTTGATTGAGTAACAGTTTTTTGGCACTTCCTACGAAATTTTATTACTCACACATGTGCCCGTCTGACTGAAGGTGAAGGTGACTAAGATTTGGTCAGTCCTTGGACAGTCCACATGTCGATACCTAATTTGTACAAAGCTCATCTGATTGGTCCGGAGGTAACCTGGGAGAAATCGTTGCATATTCTGTGCAGAACGGACTGATAAACTGTGTGACATCCCATTCCTCACCAGGCGGCTGGGCAGACGATAATGGGAGAAGAATGGTTCCCGGGGGTGAGGGTTGAGACGCCGTCTGCAACTTTCAGCACCAGCCAATTTTACGAGACAATTGTCATACATACACTGTATTGATTCTGATATCCCGACCTAGCTTACGGTCCGAATGATGACAGGATTAACGATTTAAGGGACAGGCTATTTGAGGTGATTCTGAACTAGTGCGAAGGCGATCGATTGGGAATAAAATATGGTACAGACATTATAGAAGAAGAACTTTACTGCACGACAATCGTGCATGGTACAATGTACATGGTACACCCATTATATAGGATATGATCTACACAACAAAGTATCAATATAGATATAAAAGTACGATACATTGATGCTCTTTGCTTAATACATGTCCCCTCACTCGCCTTCAAGCATTTACAACTAAACAATGGGGAGGGGGGATCATTCAAGATCAAAGATGAGTGCATATCTACATTGTGTCGGCAGTGGCAAAGCCTCGCCCAAAGCCTAAGCGATTGCCTGTCACTTGAATGCACTTTGCAGTCCATTATTTGATGATCCTTAAAACTTTATTAATGGCACTGTCGCAGCAGACATAGTCATACACAGAATTGCGTGTGCGTCTCTTTTCTCCAGTTGGCGCCAGCGAGTCGGACATCGGACTAACCCTGCCCAGCACGGTAAACACCATCGCGGGGGACCAAGTCACGCTTCCCGCTACCTACACCACCAGGCGGAGAGTCATGGCGATCACGTGGCACAAAATGGACGCCAAGACCACGGAAAGGACGCTGATCTACTCGTACTACCCGCAGGAGGACGCCCGCGAGTCGTTCGGACCGTACATCGGCAGGACCAACCTTGTCGGAAAGGCCTCGCTGACGATCAGCCCGACTACGCCCGACGACGAGGGCAAATACGTGGTGATGATTCTGGCCAAGGGCGCCGGCAGCGCCGAAGGTGTCGTAAAACTCTCCGTCATGGGTAAGTACCGTTTTGCGTCCATCCGGGACATCACTTCCGAATGTATGTTCGAAAAGCCAGCAGCTAGGGCGTGAAACACGCTATTAGGACGTCAACTCGTGTGAACTGATCTAGATACTTGCAGAAAATAGCCAATCATCCACTTCTCCCAAACTATTACACGGGTACGGAGAGTAAGTGGTAACCTTTGCAAAATCTTTCATGGCTGGAAGAACGAATTAGAGGGACGTCCTTGGAATATATTACTTTCGTCCCAGAAAAGAGAGTACAAACGTATCGATCTCTCTGCGTTCTACTTCCATTTTCGCCCCCCAAAGAAATCCGGCTTAATGAATAGTTCAAAGGATGTCATTAGGACAAAAGACCGTTGTTACCCTGCGAGTGACTTGCGAATTCACCCACCGGTACGGCTTGAAAGCTAGCTGTGTCTTCCCTCTATTAGAGCACAAACGAATAACTAATTTGATGCCCGTGAAATCTAATTAGAGTCAAATTTTGTTAGTAGTAATCATAAAGTAAATACCTCCAGGCCAAACCAAACAAGTAAATGTCAGACTGATGTCTTGGTTATGCCATTATAAAATCCAATCTTCCAAAACAGCGCCGCCCTTTGAAAACATTTTGCTATCCTTTATCGTCGGGCCCATAGTCTATTAAGCACGCCATATGCTCTGACGTGCTCCATCTATTTACCCACGACCAACACAAAGACAGCTGGAATCCATTTTTTAAGCTCAACTTTTAATCAGATAATGTACGGGTGGCATTTAGGGAAAGCCAGCCTCCGGGATTGTTATTGCGATAATTGCCGACGTCTGCACTTTGATACCCGGTTATGACGCAGATATAGCCCGCTGTAATCTATTTGCACCGTCAGGCAATTTGCCCCAGTAACAATAGTAATCCCCCTGATGGTGATATTATACAGATGATTGGCATCCTTACCTGAGTTTCTCCCAATGATAAGCCGCCTTTCATGGTATACTGAAGCTAGGTGTGGAATTGACATTTCAACCACTGCAATTAGTGCTATAGAACTGTCTAATATGACTAGCACCCTGATACGTCAAGAAGCGAAAATTATAGTTTAACCTTAGTAAAATGTTGAAACTTAAGTTTAAACTTACTTTTACTCTTCAGGGTTTTATTGATATCACCAGCTTAATGCAACATCATGACTATGCAAATATAAGAATGGACACGCTGAAGAAAATAAACATACATAACATTTATAAAGCTTGGTTTAATCGATATCAATGGAAATAATAGTTCCAGACGTTTTGGCCGCTCTCCAGCGATCTTCATCTGTGAAAAGAAAAGAAATTTCACGGATGAATATCTCTGAATAGCGGTCGAAACGTACAAAACTCGGCAATAATTCTAGCTGTATCGACTAAGCCAAGATTTTGTAAATATTATATCCTGAATGAGTAACCGTCATAAACGAACATACATCATTTGTTTGCGTAGGAGTTTGAGGAAACCTTTTTACACTATCCCTGGCGACTTTAGCCCCCATCTGAGCTAGAGTTTCATTTCATTAGCATGTAGAGTAATGTGCTTTTTACTTCAAAACCCCGCACGAACTGACTGTTCATTAATCTAAAGTTTTTAAATTCCAATATGCCGTGAACAGCAGGTGCACCTCTATTACAGGTGATCTTGGCATTAATGATGTTTTAATAAATCATAACATCGCGTGGTGATAATCTTCCCAAGAAATTACAATATTGCAATCTCGGTATTAATGTGTACGTCTTCTACATTTTGCCTCTGGCAAAACGTCAAGAAAATGCACACTTCATTCCCCCTATGCTAACTGATTAATTTTTGACCGTCACATCAGTCTTCTTCAGGTGTCAAAATCCCTATCACACATTCAGAACTTTCCCACGAACACCAGTCGACCATGTTTGGCTAACGTTCGGGAGCGGTCTGGCCAGATGTAGGCCATGTCGACCTTTCGATACGACATAAATCGAATTTGAGTTAAATTTGGGTCAGATTTGACTGCCAACCGCACCCCGACCTATTCCCGAACACCAGCTAACCCCCAGCCAACCATAGCCGAACCTACCGTAATGTTTCAACCATTTTGAAACATTCGGCCGAACTCCCCTACCTAACCATGGTTGAGAGGAGTTCGGCTAGTGTTCGGGAGACCATATTCGGCTATGTGTGACGGGGTAGTCCATGCAATAGTCCATGCATATCCAGAACCGTGCCTGGGGAAAATCCACATTCTTACATATATGTACGTGAAGACTACCCAGAACAGTGCCTGACCCTAACCGTGAACATGGTGGTAAAGACGTAGTACTAGATACGCACAGTTCTTGATGCGATATTCACTACCTTTTGTTTCCCCTCAAAGTTCCTCCCACGGTGAGAGTCGGTCCCCTGGAGAATTACGTCATCTCCTTCGGGCGCACGGCGTCCCTGCAGTGTGTGGTGACGGGAGCCAAGCCTAACATCACGCTGCTGTACTGGGAGAAGGACGGCCTCAGGATCAGTACGTCCAGGTAATGTGGCGGACCACATCTGGTCCTCGCACAGAATGTGTTTCCGTTCCATTGAACACCCCGGAATTCGCCCATTTAGAGGACATACATCAGCCATACCTTAACCTGAATGTGTGCCCGGACACTGATAAACAACAATGTTTCTTTTGGAACGTTTTTGTATTTCTCCTCCGGGCAAGAATATAGCATGTTCTCCACTTTTTGGTATTCTTTCCCCTTCCGATGATTAAAAAAATTGGCACACATCCCAACAGACACCTCAGCTGCAGTGCGAAATACATGTATAACTTGGTAGTATTCAGAACGTGTGTGATACTAGTATGTACAACACAATGAAATCTAGATCCTAACTAACTAATATGAAGCACGGAAATTCAGCTCAGAGAATGGCTTTGAACATCGTTGAAGAGGTTCATCAGTCACGTGTAAATCACAGTAAAATATTCTTCAATCAGTGACGATTTTGAAAGGTAAGAAAGAAAGAAAGACATACCTCCAAATTTTCGGTGTCCACTGTACGTCTTGATCACGGAATGACCTAGTCTCGCGAGAACACGAGACTAGGTCGAGACTACTGTAGGCCGAGACCTTTGAACATGATTTGACGTTCTACCTCGAAGTCATCATCTTCACCTTTTTTTCCGAACAGGTACAGTAGGAAGTATTCGGGAGGGACTTTGGACAATCCAAACCTGAGGATCAGTCACGTGACCAGAGAGGATGCCGGGAAGTACTCCTGCCTTGTGCAACATCCAGTTTCAAACATCAAAGCCACGATGAAGATGAAAGTACTTTGTGAGTACAGTTACTTTGATAGCATGGTAGTTTTTGTTGTTGTGTAACGGTGTAGTTCAAGCGCCACCCACTGACCGGTCTAACAGGTTCTGGACCTCTTGGCCTAGCATTAAGTCAGATTTGACTCAAGTTTAACTCAAATGCAATTCAATGGGAATAGAAATTATAGGCGTGGCCTAAATCTGACAAGATTGCTCCCGAACTTCAGCCAACCTTGGTTGTTTGGTTGATGGTAGGGGGTGGTTCTGAATGTGTGACAGGGGCTTTAGAGCATTAATAATACCTAGTAACCACCCGCTTCTTTCGGTTTCTTTCTATCAGACCCAGCATCTATAATCAGTATCTCTGAGTCCGTGACGGCCATGGTGTCAGACACCGTCACCATACAGTGTGTGGCCGACGGCGACCCCACACCGAACATCACGTGGTCTAAGAACGGGAGGCGCCTGCGCAGTCAGTCCAGCGTGATGTCACGTGACGTGGTGGTGGCGTCTGTCCGTGTGTCAAAGGTCAGGGTGAACGACAGCGGGACTTATCTGTGTAAGGCGAACAACGGTGTGGGGGGAGACAGCACAAAGTCACTCACTCTAACTATACAGCGTGAGTACCCTTAACTTTTCTTACATTCACCGTGCACTCGCTCAAGTGTGTAAAAGGAAAATCAGACAAACAGTTCTGATAATAATAATTTATCAAGAAATAACTTGATAATGACAAAAGAACTACATTGTATATACTTTCGGGGTTAGCTACTTTTGCGTATGTTGGATGAATGTATCGAGTTTCACGTCACAAAACAGTTACTCAAGCAACTGGATTTGATTTTGAAAATGGTCAGACGTTTTCATCATGTATCAAGACAGATGAGCTTTCTCTATACCAATACAGATGAGCTTTGATGCTAATAATTGAATATTCGTAATCATTATCAAATTGGAACGTACATCCATATTCAATTACTATAGAAAAAGTTTTCCAAGTGATATCATCTAAAAGTCTAGAGAAACTGTCAAAGTTATTCGCAACTAATAAAAACTTTGAGTTTTTTGAGAGAAAAATGATCTTCTAATATCTGTTGGATATCTTTCAGAACTGAAACGTCGAGTACCGTTCTCCACCCTAGCGGTGATAGTCGGCGCCACTGCCGGCGGACTGTGGCTAGTCGTGTGTGTCGGCTTCGCTATCTACTGTGCCAGGCGGAGAAAGCGGGAAAAGGAGAAGAAAAAGTTTGCATTCTATTACAACATCGGCCGCAGGCAGCCTGGGGTGGGAGATACCACAACCGAAGACGACAAGGAGCCACCTCCATACTCTGCGATGCCAGGTACATACTAAACTACTCAACTTAGATACTTATTGAAAACTGTGATAGAACACTTTGTTCTTCGCTGTACTTGTCTTCATTCTCTGATAGTCTAGACGACTATTCCGATGGCGTCGACAATTCTCGATGTTTCCTCGGTAATTTGCTCACTGCTGTTAAATATGGATCTTCCATTAGCTCTAAGGGTGCCCTTGTCTCTGACTATATCTTTGAGGTTGGCAGCTTCGGTTAAAACGCCTCATTATAGCTTACCGCAAATGAGCCACCAAGCAGCTAGCGAAATTATAGGAGACAGGCTCATTTGTTTCATTACTGCGAAACATGGCTGTCGCGCCAGGATGTATGACCTGATCACTATGTGAGGGAGCTGAAATAACCGTATATGGAGATAATGAGACACCTATGGAACGACTTTACTGTTAGAACTAGTGTGCACAAATAAGCTACTAGTTACTTCCAGGAGTTGAAGAGCGTTGTATGTACATTTACGTCAATACTGGCAGGATTCAAATAACGTAACGACCTTGGGGTTTTGTTTTATTATTTTTATCTGTAATCTAAAGCGACAGGAACTTTTCGGATACCCGCAATGGAAAGCTACGGGGAGCCTACGTTAACTACAAGGCTCAAGATGGAATACTGTTTGAATCCCCACACCGACAAAGAATGACGAAGTCGTTGTTGAGAAAAATAAGAGTGAATCACAGAAATTAACTTTTCATTGATTTCTTTCATGATTAACAGCATGTAGTATACTTCAACAGCCTTTCAATATTTATTATAACATTAATATTTTGTGGACATGTTTTGAGGCGGTTATCCTGAGTCATACGCGTTTACAACTTTAAGGTCATCATGGAAAGTGATTTTCCCTTTTTTATTGACCAAAGTCACCAGCATATCAGCAAATTTATCTAAATTTCATGGCCTTTTCCTTTCTCACAGCGAAACCAGACAACAAGGCGTCAAGCTACGGCGGTATCAATACTATCAGGAAGTCCATTGGGAGGAAAGGTTGGGATTGTTTTCGTTTTACCGCAACTTTCCCGATATAAGATCAAATACTTACTGTTGACAGCCGAGACCATAATTCACTCCGTTACCAAAACACCGATAAAAACAAGATTGTGATGCATAATGGATTGATACGCCTGGACGTTAGATCCCTACGGCGGCCGTGGACGTCGGTATAATTTCCCATAGCGGGTGCACTCAGGGCGGCCGTTAACACGTTTGGCTGGTCAGAGAATTGCAATTGAAATACGTATACCTAGCTAGCTTTGAGCGTTCCTCGCATCGTCTCTATCGATAACTATCAAAACGTGAGCAATCTTGAAAGAGACTTAATTCCTGTGCTCCTTCAGACAGAAGATATGCCCGAGCCATGTTCGCCTATCGTCCGAGAGAGGACAATGAGTTGCCCTTGGAGACGGATGACGTCATCGAGGTGTTGGAGGGGGAAGATGGCGGCTGGTGCCTGGGTTACCTGAGGGGCAGGATAGGCCTGTTCCCCTCTAACTACGTCAAGTTTGTGACCACAAGTGAAGGTATAGGAACACTTTATGATGACTATGAGTTACAGCAGCTAGTAAGTTGTTACAGTAACTTTTGCCATATTGCACAACTGTATTGGTACTTGACATTCTGTGGAAACATAAATTGCCCCCCTCCCGAATATTGTAGCATCCCCATCTCTTGTTCGTAACAGCGCTTGCACTTTTAGACAATGTACACCATACATTGACAAAACCTAACATCGACTCCGCAAGCCACCTTCTTTCACTTTCCATTCGCCTCAAGTAGCAAGACCTAGGATGCGGTTGCTGGGTTTAATCTCACATGAGAATATGTTCCAAAACTTGGCAAGTGGCCGTATATGCCATTGAAGGCCCACGAGGCCCGCTATAACTGTCTTCTTCGCTGCCGATCGAAACCTGAAGCATGAGCATAACAAGGCGCCCAGACAGCCGCGCAATCTGGAATGAGATCGCTGCATTCGACATTACCCTAGTCCCTCTGGGAACGGCGTAATTATATGTCGTGCCGGTCCCTGAGCCCCATTGATTGGATAAGTTTTCCATCCGTTCTCACGCCAGTAACTTCACGGATTGCCGTCAAAAACTGTTTCATCTGCGGCCAGTGGAGGAGGGGTAGGGGAGAGGCCAAACACTTCAACCACTGATCTATTTTATTGCGAAAACGTAGTTTCATTTAGAGGATAGCTTTGAAGGGCACGGGTCTACAGAGTGTTATGGTACCAGGCATGCATATGAAATTTCTTACATGGTAAGGCCATGTTGATTTGATTATATGGAAAATATCCTCTGGGAACCTACAAATGCGAGCGTGCGAATAAAAAAAGTTTGGCAAAATGTTGACTTCATTATGAATTCTAGGTGGTCATGAAAGTTGAACAAATGAGAAAACGCACTGAGTAATATTCTATTTGCATGGTGAGTAATAGACTCTTCATTTTCATTTCTTCACATTTTCTTCTTGTCCTTTGGATTTTGGTATTCTGTGACATAAATATCGTTTTCCAATTTTTTTTCCATTTAGGGCATATATTTGCTCATATTGCAGGTACGTTGATTTGCAGTATGGTCGAAAACTTTTTTTTGGAAACGGACGAAAATTCATGCGCGCGCGGATGTCATCCATATAATCAAATCAACATGGCATAATTGACAATTCTCTTGGTAAACATAGCTGATGATGATTAATATACATGTATGTTGTTTTCTACTGGTAATTTATCATCATTTTTATAATGCAGATGAAAACCAAATTTTCTGTTTGAATTGAATAAAACTAAGAATATTTGATCATACATCTCTTACATATATGTGTAAATTGGCATGTATAAGACAAACACATGGGGTCATGCTACAGTCATAATGTGAATTATGGAAAATCATATCAAGGTTGAGTGAGAAAAGAAGGTACATTATGACACAGGAAGCGAACCAGACACTGCACATAATGAAACCTAATCCGTGCAGTTGCTGGTTACGGCATTAACGATACGTTCTGGGTACCTCATTAGTAAAGGTTATCATAAATAAACCACTGAAGTGGTGGTTACGATGATGAGAACATTAATTGGTGTAGACAAGCTGTGATTTTTCATTAACGTCTGGAATGGATTAGTAGGATCCGCTGTTATGACTGTGGGTTTTTAAACAAGGCGTCGCGTAAAACTTTCTCGCTTAATGAGGAAAGTCGTAAAAGTTTATAGCCGTGCCCACACCTGATCTTTCGTTGAGATGATTTCGATGCGGTTCATTTGCTGTACCTCTGACATTATGTGCATTATGTTCTAAACAATACGCTCAAGTGTTCTAAGTTGGCGATCCAACATTCTGTCGACGATAAAACTAGCCAAGCGTTTGTGGAACAATTAAACTGTTCTCCAACTTTTAGAAAATTGGACTGATAGGGATTTTCGTCTGAATCACTCAGTTTTCTTCAGTTATCTAAAGCAAACGAAGATTCTAGTGAGTCAAATTTTTCAGTTGGAGAAATTAATGTTGCACATTGTATTTCTTTATTCTTTGTCTCAGGCAAATGTTCAGTATTACAAAAAAAAACATTCAGATACAAATACAAATATGTATATGACATACACAGTAGATAAGGTAAAAAGGAGTATTTGCAAACTCAGATGAATTTCATGATAACGCCAAAACAGTTACTCAACGGCACATGATTTTGGAAAATATCATATCCAGTCATTTTCAAAATCATATCCAGTCGCTTGAGTAACTGTTTTTTGGCGTATCTTATTACCTGGATGTCTAACCTTATGATCATATGATTTTTTTAATCATATCCAGTCATTTCCAAAATCATACCCAGTTGCTTGAGTAAGTGTTTTTGGCGTATCTCATTACCTGGATGTCTAACCTTATGATTTTTTGAAAAAAAATTATATCCAGTCGATTCTAAAATCATCTCCAGTCACTTGAGTGACTGTTTGTTTTACGTATCCTATTACCTGGATGTCTAACAAAAATCATATCCAGTCAATACCAAAATCATACCCAGTTGCTTGAGTAACTGTTGCTTGGCGTATCTCATTACCTGGATGTCTGACCTTCACCGACGTTTCATGATGACAAGGTGTCTATTGTTTGATCTGCAGTTCTGGCCATGAAATCCGGCGCGACGTGCCAGATGGTGGCCCTACAGGAGACGGTGGGCTCCAAGAGATCCATCTGACGACTCCGCTAGCTGCCGGACACGTGCTCAGCACCCTCATACGATTCCACGCGCGTCGACAGAACTCACGTTCCCGCGGGGGACACCTCGAACGGCCGCGCACTGACAGGGAATCTGATGGATGTTGGCAGGCTAGCCCGAGCACTGGAGATTGAGGTGTAATCTCGCCCGCTGCGGTGCCAAGGGTTCCGTACGTACGTGAGAATCACCTCAAATAACACACCGTCCACTAGATCGGGCGCGGGGGGATCTACTCACTCAGTCATCTAAATGGAATAGCTTCACTACACATAATCTAGTTTGTAAAGAGAGAGGAGATTTTAGATGGCAAGTGCAGTGCGAGGACTGTCACATTGGTTCTATATAGATTGCACTGAATTTCACCGCGAGTATTAGAGCTTATATTTTTGCTAGCACCATGCATCTCTTTGTGGTGATTTTGTCTAGAACACGTCCCCAACGCACGTTACGCGGCCGCGCTCCGTTTACACCATTATTACAGCTTGTCGTGTGGGGAAGAATATTGAATTTCGAGTCCATCAGAGTGTAGCAAAATATATTTACCATCAAGGGTGCGATGGGATTGTGTCTAAAGGTCTTTGATAGTTTCTCTGCGGACGGAATCCTCATCTACCTGCCATGATAGACTAACTGACCTACACACGGATCCCGACGAGCGGTTCAGGATATTATCTGCAAATGTCAGACGGCACATCTTTGGTAGTAGTTTGATGTTTGAGACGCTTGGACAGATATTGGAAGTTCACTTCGTCCATCTATCATATAATGGGGAAATGGGGAAGAGTTTTACTTGGATTGCCTGGCGTCGTTGGCTCTTGTTCAAGTTACCCTGTGTCATGAGAGTTTTTTTTTCTTTTCCAGATTTACGTTATGTAACGGTGGGCGGTGTTTTAAAGGCTAGATTGTATTAAACAGTGTGTGAATATGAACGACTTGGTCATTAATTGTGTGGTTACTGTTGCAGTTATGTTATGTGGGTGTCAAAAGCTTAGTAGTAGCCTGTTTTTCATTTGCCGAGCAGTGAATGTTTAATCTTTGTCGTAAGAGCCGTTAGAGATCGAATTGAATGTGTGCTCAGACATACTTGGATGAATAGGGTAACACATCTTCCAAAGTAACAAATGACTGTGGCAGAATATTGCCTGCCGTAATGGTCATGGCGTTGCCAAATAAGCCTGTTGCTTGAAATTGTCACTCAAGACCCAGAGGCCTGATTCTTTGCACCAGCTTGATTGGATGTGAAACGCATATGCTGTGTGTGACCTTTCCAAATGCTCCTCATTTTTCTCCATATAAAAGATAGGCCTTTAAGTATGTTTTTACTTTACGTGAACCCTAGGCTACTCCATCAATAAAATTTCGACTCCAAACGGTGGTGCACAAATGTAAGTTCGTGTGCTTGGTTACAGGTACACACATTACACATTCATGACAAACCATGGATAACATTGACCTTGTTCGGCATACGTGCAGTCTGCAAGGTCAAGTTAATAAGTTCACCAGAGACGGAGCTGCCTGGAGAAGTTCTAAACAAGAACCAACCCGTTCTACACGTCAAAACTATTCTTTATCTACATTTTTTATTGTTCAAGCATTAAAGAAGATAGTACAACACAAAGTGGTAGCGCACTCAAGTAGTTAAGACTTATCTTTAACACTACCACTTACACATAATGAGAGTATAAACTAACTAATCCAACATAAAGAAAATACAGATGATAATACATATGTAACGCAACGTAATAAAGAACAGATATGTTGGAAGCACATGACCAATTTACCACCCAATGACAACGCAGTGAAAAGGTAGGACACATAATGCAAAATACAAGGAACAATCGAGTTATAGAAACGTTTTGTTGCGGTAATAAATTGTTGAGTAAACGACACAATGTTTGAATTGGCAATGGATGAATAAAAGTAACTGCCACGGAACAAAAGGGAAATTTTAGCGTGGTCCGACAGGGCTGTAGAATTGATGGTGTGTCCAAGGAGCCTGGGGAGTTTGACAAGGAGAGTTACACGATAGGCGTTATACATAGGGCAGTTTAGTAAGTAATGCGACACTATCTCGCATTGGCTACCATCGACATTTGTAGAGGTTATTCTATTCACATGGCACGAACTGCGATATATGAGACATCGATACGAAAACTACACTAACAAGCAGTAAGAAGAATATAAAGAAACACCAGACATTCCACCAGGTCTAAAGTCGATATGTTTTAGTGCAGTTATTTTCCCAAGGGCCAAATCAGACTATATGCTGTACATATTGAAAACCTACATTACGACCTAGTTACTCGGAATATATTGCCTACGGCGTTCTTGGCTGGGTTAGCGGTGCTCAAATGGGCTATCAAAGGCAAGGCCAAGTCGTGCTGAGTAGATTTCCACCAGGAACTATTACCTTCACACATGGAACCAAGAGAGCTGTCATACATGGACAGTTCATAGCAACAACTACTATAAACTCAGATAAAACTCATCGATATTAACTAAACCGCTTCATTTTACGACTTGTAACAAGTAAGTAAATCAATACTCGGCAAAAATTACAACGTTAAAGGATTATCTGACAACATGGCCACATAGAGATAAAGTAGATCCTTTATATGTGAGGACTAGTACTAGCTATAGTCTTCATGTACTAAATGAGTCAGTGCTTGTTACGAATAACAGTACCGAACATACATGTAATCTGACAACATGGAACCGTATGATAACGAGCCTTGCATTGTACAGACGCTCTCCGGCAAATGTACCGATCCTGATTGAACGTGTTGAACCCCCTATTCTATTTCGAGCTCCTCAGTCAAAATCAGCGTGCGGAGGGTTGGTTTATCCCTTGACTGAGATCGCCGTGAGGAGACTACAGTGATAATATCACCAGTGGAACTCCTCCACACACACAAAACCAAACATACTTCCAGCAAAGTAAGTTCGAAGTCAAGATCGTAACTCGTACGGCCGACTGATTCTTACAAGCGTTGGAGAAAATGTTTAATCAGGTCTTCTCTTCGACCTCTGACCTACGGAAAGGTCAAAGGCAGCCCGCGCATATTCAAAATGGAGGGCGGAGTCCAAACGATGACATTAATCGTCTTTGACATTCTCAAAGTTATTGATATGCAGCTCAATCTCATCGGGATTCACAACCTGAGATCTAGAGTCGTGACCACATACCAAAAGCCTGCAGGAGAAAAGTTAAGTTTTGGTTCTACACAAATATGCAGTGTAATCTATCATGGGGAGGGGGGCATGACCGACTGTCCTTCAAATTGAACAGATCGGGATATATATTGGCTGCTATTCATGGAAATGTGACCCTACAGAACGTTTCGGTGACCTTCGTGACAGAACATGCCCTGTGATTTATTTCTTCTCATTGTCCTTGTGTCTATATGCATGATTTAATACATATATATTTGCATTCTCTCTCGTGTGTGTGTGTGTGTGTGTGTGTGTGTGTGTGTGTGTGTGTGTGTTCGGATATTTTCTGTACTATATACAGATAATTCTTGTAACTATGATTTTAGTTGAATCATTGTTTATTTTATTATTCTGCCAATGTGATGATATATGGTACAATTTTCATTGCATTCTTTTCTTTCATTTTCCCCTTTGCGTTGAGAAGTTACGGGTGATGGACCGTTTTATGGGTTGGAGGCAATACTATCGAGTTGAAAGCATCCAGACCACCTTTACAAGCTCAAAGGTTTCTCTAGATATAGAGGTTACGATAGAACCATAGTTTCAAATGGATACAGTGATGAATGTGGCACTGCAATCTCCATACTAAGTAAAGAAAAGTGCGTACACGGTGGCATTTTCCTCTGCCAGAACAAGCTTTCTGCCAGAGACATTGGAGCGCACCGGGTTAAACCCAAAGTGCCGTGTGCGTTCGAGCAGTTCATGGGATATCGAACCCCTGCATTTCTCCTGCTCACCTCTGACGGGCGCCTGACCGCAGCCCCGGTCGGCCGCCCAAAGCAAATAAATGATTTGCCGACGACTGGCCTCGTACAATGGGGAGCGGCGAGTGTAGAAAACGTTTCCACCCGATAAGAGTTTTTATGGCGGTAAGCGTGAGCTTTATACGCCACCCAAACGCTCCCGGAGAAAGGAACGCTATACATCAGACGGCCCGCTCGCTGAGTGGAGTTTACAAGTACCGTATTGAGGGCCATTTGAGCGCCCGATTGCCGACTACATGTACGTTCTGAAGGTGACATTTACGAAGGTAATGAGGGATTGGAGGATACCTCACCGCTCCGATGACTGTGTGAAGCGTATTATAACGCCATTGATCCAACCCTTGTTGAATCAACTAACCTTGTCAGTTTGTATTAGCACTGTTTCAAGTTCACACGGTACGTGTCACAGTACACGTAATAAACGACAGCGGCACCAATATATACTTCATTAAAACTACATGCATTAGGTGGCATTAAGAGTATTTTATGCGTCATATGCTCGTTCTTTATATGCAATCGACTTGTAACAGATAACATGAAGTAATTGAGCACAAGCACGACTCTCCACTTCGTAATAAGAAATAATTAATTCCTTTCGACAATAACAGGGACCTTACTAACCCTGATGTGGAGTAAATGTCTTTTTTAAAAGCCGCACGTTGACATGATATATTGCATACTCTTAGCACTAATGGTGCCATTTCTTCATCCTACAGTGAAGATATTTCCAGGTTTTAGATCCATTATTGGCCGCACTATTTCAACGTTAATGGGGTCAGCTGTGACATTTGTCTTAAAGCTGTCTTTCCTAGAAATGTGAGGAGGGGAAGTGGGATTTCTTTAATAATGTTAAGAATAATGGGCCTGGGAACAGGGGAGGGGGTACGGAGGGAGGATATACGACCGCTGAAAGGGGTGGTGATAGGAAGGGTCTCATTAGGAAGAAATAAATCATAGATAAACAAAACATAGTATAGCTGAATCTTAAATTAACGTCTTCCATGGTTTACAAAAGAGAAGTTAAACCCTTCAGACATAGTTCTATAGCTATATATAGTTTTAGACAATTACCTCGTGTTAGTATGTAGATTTTGAAGTTATTTTGTACCCTGTATTCAATATTCTTTTATCTTTGATATTTACAGTTAGACTTCGGGCAGGAATTTCCAATAAATTTATCATGTGAAGACGTCATGTACATACACACGCCCGCACACTCAAATATGATCCTAAACACTCACATACACGGAATGACAGACTCTTTTTGTACACATCAAGTGTAATTCAGCCCACGATTCGGTTGCCGTCTGTAACCTTCCTCGGTGACTTACCAATCTGATGAAAACTCTTCTCGGATTCACATGCACCACCCAACCCTTTCGCACACTTCGAAGGACCCTTGCAAATATAGGACACACTTGTGCCTCTGGAAACGACGATAGATTGCCAAGTGGAGACACAGGTTAGGGTCGGATCTGAGTAAGTATCAAATTTGGTGCAATGGGACGTAGTAAGCAGGTTCAGGTATACATGTGGCGGGTACCGGGTCATGAAAGACATTTTCCTTTCTGGGTCAATCTACTTAAGCACTTTCAGCACTTGGAGAAGATCGTCGCTTCTCCGGAAATGTGTTTAAAATTGACAAAGCGTGTGTCATTTGGCGAGTTATCGCTAACCTGCTGCAATTTTGGGAGCTTGAGGAAATTTTGGTGTGCCCATTTTGATAACCTACTTCAAGGCCCTTTAGTTTGGCAGTCATATACTACATCATTTCTTTGTAAAAGAAGTAT